TTGTTACAGTACTGTTAAAGCACTTCTCTCCCAATTGGGAGAAAGTTAAGACTCTTCATTTTATGTTCTTAACATCTTTCTAAATACTAACAAAAATTTGTCTAGTCTCTTGTGATTTACATTTTCAGAAGAAAGTCAAACAACAATGTAAAATTCAACAAAAAACAGAAGGCAAGCATCTGGAGTCACGTGATAGGTACCCAGTAGTTAAGAATGAAAGTTACACAAGGGTTATACAGCTTACTATTTTCAATCAAACCACTTTTCTCTTTAATATAAAACTTCACTTGAGTATAAAAATATGCCAGATTATACAGCAACAAAAATTAAGACTTAAGAGATTAATGAATTAGAAGTTAGAGCTGACATTCCTTAATCCTCAAACTAGAAGGGTTTAAAGAGGAAAAGACTTCCAGAGATAAGGATGGAAGGGAGATGAACAGAGGAGAGGAAGGGGTGATGGGGAGTTTCTGGAAAGAAGGTGGAGTAAGTAGAAGTGATCTATGCTTGATCCAAGAGTGCTTGACAGGCAAACATTCTAAATCACAGTTTCAGAAAGGGTGCTAAGGAAAACAACAAAAAACAAAACCGGGTTCCTTCTCTTGTTACAGTGTACTTTTTTTTTTTTTTTTTTAAATCATGTCCAGTAAGTTAAATTATGTGAAATTCTGCTAAGTGCATAGTAGAGGATTTAGTGACCTTCGCCTGTCCAAGAAGTGCTTCTTACTGAGTCACTTGAGGTAATCTGAAGGCCCAGTTCACTGCAATGTGTTTTCTTTGTACTTACATGAAGTTATGTGCTACACTTTATGTGACTTGGCACAGGCCTTCTAAATTTTATATTCACACAGAAAAGGGTATCTTAGAGAATTAGTCATTGATGTACCACTCTTTGCAAGGGACAAAGGGCAATTCAAAACAAATTTACACAGGAAATGTACAAACACAATGTTATGGGATATAAGCCCAATAAACATAACTGTGAACTTATTTCTAAGAGTGCATATGAAAATATCCACAGACTTACAGGACGGCAAAATAAGACCAAAAAGCTAGAAACAGAATGTTACATAAAATCCTTAGGGAAGTTCCAAAAATTTAGGTCTCTGCAATAAATGTAGAAAATATTTAAGGTGTCATTATTTGGCCTAGCAATACACTATGAGAAAAAAAAAAAAAAAAACAACAAAACACTAGCATATCACAGCTTCTTGGTCATATGACATTTGTTTTCTATAACCAGCAGCTCATCTTTTTTAAAAAAGCTGTCATATCCTAACACATCCATTGCAAGTAATACACAGCCATGGTATAAAACCATTTGAGATTATGCTTTGGAGAATAGCAATATGATATGACTGTTCAGTTTTGTTTTGTGTAAGGAGAATTAATTACCTGCTTTTTAAAGATTATTCCATAAAACAGTAATAGATTAGAAGACAGATGTTCCAAAACTAGAATAACACTAGTTTGGGGATAGAAATCCAAAGCAATACTGTATATTATTCTCTCAAAAATTATTCTAATGAAAACTGTATGACACAGATTTTATGGTTATTTAAAAACAAAACAAAAGCATATACTATAATTCAATTCACAGTTTAAAATCCACACTATATTGTACCTGTTTAATCTTATAATTATATTCAGAAATGCTATCAAACTAAAATGATGTTAAAGTCTGGTTTCAAAATTTCCTTTTAACAGCTGAGCTGAAAGTTTATGTCTTAGAAATTGCTTTTGCAGTTTTGCCCTAAAAACAATGAAGTACAGAGTAGTCAATTTTACATCATTTTTAAAAATACACAACAAAAGTGCTGGAGAGCTACAACAGCTCATCAACACTCTCAATGCATTTTAAAAAGGCACCAATATGAAACATTTTAAAAAGGATTCAATACATTAAATTCAAGATTTTAAGAGACCAGTTAATGTACATTTTAATTATTTTGCAGAAAATGAAGGATTAAAAAATATTTCTAAAATAACTTCTTTACACAAACTTCAATTTCACCCCTCACTTTTTTTTTCCTTTTGCACTTGGAGAATCTTCTGCTGTGGAATAATCATACAAATAGCACTTAAATAATATATAAAATACAACTGAAGAAAAACATGGATGTAATATCACTTTTAAAAATGAGTGATTAAAAATATTATAGCTAAGTACCTCTTACAGCCCTACGCTCTGTATTGAGGGGGTCAGAATTTTGGTTTGTATTTTTGTATGCTCTTTTCCTACCCTATCAATCTTTTGGAGATAGGATAAAATAAGGTTTAGAAAATATTTAAAACATAATTTTCATCTGAATGCCTTCTCTGAGGTAAATTTTGGTAAACATTTACAAAATATAAAGACTCCATGCTCTTGTGAGGTGTGTAGCTGAGATATAAAAACTATAAAGCTCACGAAAATATTCTTTCTCTTTTTGCCAACGTGTTTGCTGAATTTCTTTCTATATTTCTTACCTATTCAAATAAGAATTTTGTATTTCTTTAAGTTTTTATCAATTGGCTTAAAAATCTTTCCTTTTCATTGTTTCATTTTGTTTTGGAAATAGATGATAAAAGGCCAAGATTTAATAATTGCCACCCGTCTTAATGACGCACTACTAACTTCCTTAGTACTTCTTAATACAATGTGCAAAAGTAAATCTAATTGCTCAGGTATCAACTATAAATTTAAATCCCTGTTCCTGTAACAAATTTGATAGCTCTGCTTTTCACGAATTTTCTTTAAAAGATTGTGATACACAGGTACACACTATGACTCATACATACAGCGGCCTGTATGTGCATAGGACAGACACTTCTAATTTGTCCAAATCAGAATTCTGCTCTCATTCTCCCCCTTTTTTCCCCTTCAGAAAACTCTTAATGGAATGTTTTAACACTTCAAATCTTTTCAATCTGCCTCCTCCCTGGACATTTTCACTATTTAAAAAATCATGTTTGGCATGGCTTTTCAAAGGTGATTCTTCATTGTCACAGAGAGTCAGCATTCTTCTGCAAAAAGAACTGGAGATAAAAAATCTGGGCAAAATTAGGGCAAAGCAATGTGATATATTTCTGAATTTTTGCCACACTAGAAACTACACAGGATAACCCATTTTTATGCCCCTCAAGTACCCTCTCCACTGTGAAAGCTCATCTAAACAAACTGTGCATACAACTGTTATGTAAAGCTTGATTTATTTGGTGCCTGACCCTCATACTTATTTATAGGCACTACCACATTGCACACTTCCTTTGGTGAAGCATGCAAATATAACCATCCAGAGCTTTTCAGAAATTACTATGTCCACAAAAATTCTTTCTAACCTACCAGTGATAATTGACCTTGTCCCCATTTGGGCCTGACACACCTTGCCCCACCAAATCTTTCTGTTCTCATGCCATGAAGCCAAGAAAATACAGGTATCCACTTGTAGCAAATGCACTCTCATTAACTATTAACTCCCTTCAATAAACTAAGTTGCTCAACAAGATGAAGGCAGAAGAGGACAGTGCATCAGTGCCGTCTTCACAGAGGGTGACACAGCTCTTTAGGTCCCCCTAAGCCCAGTTTCATTGCAGGACACTAGGCATGCAATCATCTATATGCTGGAGTGGAAGAAAAAAGAGCAAGAAAAAAAAATCCATTGATGATGCCAGTGGAAATTCATGCATATTCACACATGGCTGAAATTATGAATGTATTGATTAGTAACTAAATGCTTCCATAAATTGCAGCAAAACATGAGGTCAGGAGCTTAAAATTATTTACCTCATCCAAAAGGGGAAAATATCATTTCAATTACAGTTTGGGAGGGATTAGAGTAAGCAGGTAGAGGTAAGATAGAGGTGAGACAGTTTCACACAGATGCTTTCTCTCTGAACGAATTGTGAGTGTATAATGTACTAAGGCATGCAGGAGAAACAGACATTTAATATGTCTTTGTTTTGGTGCATTATCTTGGATGTAAAGAAACAGTACGGACATTTCTCCAAAATTAATCATGATAGGGACTACAAGAGAAAGCTGATTCATAAGTATTTTTACCCCGTTCTATCTGTTAGTGCTTAGAAATTGCTTAAATAAGCAAATGGGAAACTAGAAAAAATGACTTTAGAGCAATACTGGAGCCGGACTTGCGTTATCTACCCATAGACCTCTAGTCTTGATACTTCTCATCATGCTATATAAACAGCTTCAGATCCCATTTCATAATTTTAGAGCAGTTATTTCTACTTGACAGAATTTCAGTATTCACAAGTGGCTATTAATCTAGTCATGGTCAGGTCTGCTTTTGCAAAACATGAGCAGGAAGTTCTGCCTTAGAGGTGTGTCCCCCCAATGACTTGAGAATCAGAATCACTTGGTTCCTCCCCAGTAATGTCTCTGGACTGTAAAGAATAGAGCACCCATACGAAGGGAATTAAAGCCTCCACATAAAATATGAAAATGTATGCCACGTCTGAATTAAAAGACGGTAAATTCTACACTAAGACACTGAAATTCATTTATGAGAAGTCAAATGTTTTTGAAACAGGAAAATGTGCAGGACCTTTGCTTTAAGGGTCTGTCACATTTTAGACTTCAAGAAGGTAAGAGCAAGCTCTTGTTTCTTTCTTTGATCAGTAGTCCACAGTACAGGTTACAAAGAAGTTCCCTTTTTCTCTGCAGTGAAAATAGTAAATATCATTCAAGAAATACTAGAATAAATAGCCCTAGTTCAATGTTCTTACAGAATTTAAGTTACTACATTCAGGTCAAATTAGCAAACACTCTGAGGATACTGTGATAGAAGGAGCTTCTAGCAAGACCTTAAGACCTTTTACTCCAAGAGTAACAGAGGAATGGGCTACAGGTAGAACACTGAGTGGTCACAGCTCGAAACAACCAGTGAAAAGAGAAATATCACAAGAGGGACTGTGAAGTAGAGTATTCCCCCTACTGTTAGCCTAATTATATATATATATATATATATATATATATATATATGTATATTTTTTGCTGACTGTTTAACACTGATTAAATGCAGATAAAGTGACAACCATAAGCATACTTTTAGAAACAGCTATGTATACTATGCTGCCATCTTATTATAACTTAAAAAAATTCCCAAACAAATTTATGAAAAGTAGGAGTCCCTTCTAGAAATTACTGTGTATTATCCACTCTTAGACCATATGTTATTCTGAAAACTACATAAAAATACCATTTGTTAAAGGTGTTAAAAGTAAGGCTGCCAGGGTATCTATAAAATGCCAGTCATCAAAACTATGGAAAACAGTGCTTGAGTTTAGAAAAATAAGATCAAAGGACCTCAGGTGTATTACAGTGGTCCTTAACTTCCTGTAGTTTAAAAGTTTTGCTATATGGTACAGTGTAAAACATACTGAATTATAAATTCCATAGGGGAAGTAAACATAGAACCCACAACAACTCAACTCTTCCTAGGAGTTATTGAAAATAATGTGTTTTGTGTTCCATGATCTCTAAGAACAAAAAACTGGTTTACATTTTGAAGCAAGTTCTTCTCTGAAGAGTAAAATTACTTACGCCATTTTAATTCGCCAAAGTCCTACCCAGAAAACTAAATTCCTGCCTTCAATCATAATCCTGAACATCAGTGGCAAATTAGGATATTTCAGGTGAATCTTATGAACCAAGTGATTTCTGCAAAGCATGACATGCTTTGTATTTGCGTGGAAGAAATGAACTGCTTTAAATTACCACAAAATAAACAAGCCAAGTTATCAGGAAACAGTAGCCCCATCCCTTCTTTCTTCTGTTTCTTCTCTATCATAATTAGGTAGAGCAAATGACACTGTGTCCACAAAATAAGAATTGACAGTAATAATATTTTTTAAAAAAGTATGCCAACATCTGAGGGAAGGTGGGGTTGTAAGCGCAGCACTTCCTCATGTGCAGTTCTCTACTCCATAGGGGTCCCCTTGGGAATGACAAGGCCTAGTGGAATGTGTGCTCCCCTCGAACAATATGTGATGAGAACTCGTAACGGTCCTGGCTTCTATAGCCACAGATGTTGCATTCCAGTGGGTCCCGGTAGCCATGGCAACCCATGTGAATGGTGTACATGACATGGTCCAGGAAAAGGACTCGGCAGTGCTCGCACTTGAAGGCCCTTATCTGTTCTCCTTCTCCATTGAAGACCTTATAAATGTCTTTCAGAGAGCCCTTGGGAGCCTTGGTGGTGTCCAAGGCCTTGACATCCTCCTTCATGTAAGCTGGGCTCTGTTTCCTCTTGGGATTTAAGGCAGGGTTTCCTTGGTAGGACTGGTGGTCATCATGGCTGCTTTCGGAGTCAGTAGAATCCAGGCAGCTATTGCTGGGAGAGGCTTCTCTTTCCTGGGGTCGACTCTTTGGTCTGATGAGAGAGATGGGGCCATCCACATTGTTTTCATGACTATCAGAGGTTTCCCTGCTGATCGGTCTTTCTATCCTGTTTGGATGATAGACCTGAGAATAAGCTGAGCTTATAACTGGGGCCACCTCAGCGATTGTGCTTGGCGGGTGCTGCATCAGAGGGTGAAGGGCCTCAGCTCCAAGGTAGGTGATTGCATTGTTGATGGCTTGGTCCATCATGTGAGACTGCATCAGCTCAGCCTCTTTCTCATATGTTAAGTTCATATCAAAGTGAATATCTGGGTAGCTGAATCGCATGAGCTTTTCCCCTGAAAGCGGGAGGGTGAGGAAAGAAAGAAAAACATCACACCAAAATTATGATTTGATTAAAAATATAAAAGGTGGGACATTAACATAATTTCCACTTTTCCTTATCATATGGTATATGCCATATTCTCCAGGTCAAGTATTAGAGCGTTTTAATTTTGCCGAGACCCACTGACACTCTGTGACATGTTGCAGTCGTAAGCCTAGCTAATTAATAGGAAGTGGGGATCCACAGAGCTACATTCTAGAGAAGCATCATTTGGTATTTAGTATTATTTCAATTTGAATTGCTCCCAAGACAGATAAGGTAATGCACAGAATAAAAAACAACTGAAAATAAAAATGGTGAGATATTATTTTATGACATCTGATTAAGATATTGCCATTCAAGAGTTTCAAAGTCAAGGTAGAGAAATCTGACTCATATTCTCAAAGACCTGTTTACAGGGAACTGCAGCAATTTAGGGATCATTTATAATATAGCTTGCTATAAGTTTGGGGGCCAAACAGGAATGCTTATCTCATACTAGGCAAGTGAAGGAAGCCACTTTGAAGGAAGTAGCATCAGGAATAAGAATGTGCTGTTAAACACAGCTAAATAAAGAACTGTAAAGGTGGAGATGGAGGAACAGGCAGGAAGGTTCACCAGCAACAGGGCAGGACTTACAAGAAGTTGCTTATATTTCAAAATGGCTGTGAATGGAAACAGGTGAGACTGATGAACTAGGTAAACACACAGCTCATTCAACAGCAAAAGGAATGGAATTTTAACCTGAGAGTATTGAGAACTGAAGGGGTTAAATGGAGGTGGGGCCTAATTAGATATACAGTTAACAAGAGGATTTGAAAGTTGCTGTATCATTCATGCTGACTGAACTGGTTAGGAAAAATGGAGAAGGTGCTGGAATGGAGAAAACTGTAGAAAAGACAGTGGTTAGGGCTTGATTCTTACATAGATGCAGACAATGAGGATGCAAAACAAGCATGAAGCCCAGTTTCATGGCCTGGGAAACTCAGTGGATGGCAGTGAGACAGGGGAGAGAATACATTCAATTTGGGGAGCACTACAGCCATCATGTCCAGAAAGAGCTTACATATCGTATCAAACATAGGAGAGGGGTCTGGGTTTGAGACGTAGACCTGCGAGTCATCAGTTGATACAAGGCAACTCGCAAGGCATGGGAGCAGATGCTGTCACTCATAAGTAGGTGACTGCACCAAAGGAGGTCACAATAGAACCTGAAAAACATGTTTTAATGTTAAACTGAAGACAAAGCAGCCAGATGGGATTCCTGTACTTGGCATCATGTCTAGAAGGTCAGGGGGCTGGTTCCTCCTGAAACAAGGGTGAAGGCCAGAGGAACGTGTCTCTGATACACTGCACAGATCACAGTCTGGGTAATCAGATTCCAGAATTCTTCCATCGAATAGCTGTGTGTACACTTACTGTCTCTCTAGAGTTCTCTTCATGGGGTCCAATGGTGTGACATAAGCAGCGTTGGTAATGTGCTGTGTGTGCCGTGCGACACACAAAAAAGAACCCGGCTGTGCAGGCATGAGTATCCACGCATGTGCACGAGGTGCTTTTTTAGTAATGAGCAGACGTAAGCATAGGGCTAGGACGGGCCCTGGCTTCAGGCCAGTGTTGGTTCTCATGATGTGGCTGAAGTCTGGTGGGAAGCAACAAGGAATCTGAGAATTCTACACTTATTTGAACTTAGTCTTCAAAGTCAGGTAGGCTGAACATGTTTCTTGAGCTTGGTTTATAATATTAAAATGCTTAGGCATATGTATGGGGGGGTCATCTACATAGCTGAAAGGGCAGATCCATAAAGAATGAGAAGACGCAGGCAAAAACGCTGAGGAAACAGAGTTCAGTGTCAGGAACCAAGGACAGAGTGGGCTTCAGAGGGCACTGGCCATGCAATTTTGCATGGGAGCTGGCTCAGCCCACCTCAGAAGGGCCCACTGGATGTGGCACCACAGACCCAAGCTGTGGCGCTCACGTGGACACTGAGTGTAGGATGGAGAAGAGTGTCAGGCTGCAAAGATCAGGAAATGAACAGAAAGGAGCAAAGTTCACTGACAGCAAGTACTGAAAGTGAAAAGGCTTTAACTTTAAAGAGAAGGACAAGTTGCAGCTGGAAGAAACTTGATATATATGTATTTTAGTGCAGGTTCTATAGGGTCTCACTAGACAGTTGGAACTTGTAGTGATCCTCCTGTTTTCAGCCTCCCAGGGATTACAGGCACACGCCACCATGCCCAGTCTCAGTCCCCATCTCACGTGTCCCAGGGGCGGGGCCAGCATCATACGCTGGTGATTGAACTCCAGTCACTGCGCCTATCTAAACAGGTGCTTTAGTTCACTGAACTATCTGGCCAGCTCAGAAACTTGGGTTTTAGTAAAGATTTTTCTTCCCTCCCAATAATGATACTTTATGATATTAATGCTGACAGGCAAGTAAGGACAAGGAAAAAAATACAGGGGGAGGTATTTGGAGGACCACAGTAGAATTCCAGAGCACAACAGGAGGAACTGACCTTAATCAGAAAGAGGAACACTACTTTCATTGAAATGAGGGAATAAAAAGTATTATGTAGATACACAATTTTGTAGGATTGAAAATATTAAACTGAGATCATTCCAACTCACTTTATTCGCTTATAAGTATAGGTATATAAAATCTCAAGGTGTGAGATACCAAGTTTTCAGAAAGCTGAGAAAGGCTGAATATGGCCATGATGTAGAGTAGGAGAGAATGTTGTTCATGGTTATACCAGAACAATTCTGTCACAGTATGGCTAGGCCAGCTGAAATTTAAAATGAGTTACTAGATTGATCTATTAATCAGTTAATCAATATTTTCACACAGGGTCTCACTATGCAGTTCAGACTGGCCTTGAACTCATTATGTAGCCCAGGGTGGCCTCAAACTTGCAGGAATCCTCCTGCCTCAGCCTCTTGAGCACTGGGATTACAGGCATGCACCACCACACCCAGCTGACAGCAATTTATGAGACTCTGGCATTTTCTCCAAAAGTACTAATAGCTGACAGGCAAATACTGAAAAAAGATGTGTAGCCAGCTCCACAAAAGAATAAGGTTTCACCAAGCAAAAGTGGTAGGAAAACAAGGCAAGTGAAAGTAAGCAAAACAGTGGTGAAAGTAATGAGCCAAGAAATTTGAACTGGACAAAGGGAGGGCTAGCAAGGAGATATGCATGAAGTTCAGAGACTGCTTGTCTGGAGAACTTGATTAAAGTCGAAGAGCACTTACTTTACCACGTGACATAGTAAAAATGAGTTTATGTAGTGTGGAGTGACAAAAATATTCATTGCAAGAGCAATCACAGAAACAGTTACTGTCTGTTGTTTGCTATATTTAGAGAGCCTAAATAAAAAAAGCTCAAATTCTTAATAAAAGATCAAATGTTATTTTAGAACCATACTGTCATTTTCTTAAAAAATTGTCTTTTTCCAGGGAATGTAATCAAATTGAGAGTAACTTCTCTAAGTTAGAAGAAACATGACAGAAATGTTTCAAAGAACAGACAAAAGACATGAAAATAAAAATTTCTCACTTTTCAAACTATACTATTATCTAGTGAAATATAAGCATCTAGTTAACTCCATCAAACTCATTAATTTTATTTATTTATTTGTCTTTTTTTAATGTATTAGGTACAGTGTCTTACTATGCAACTCGGACTCGTAGTGGTCCTCCTGTTTTAGCCTCCTCAGCGCTGGGATTACAGGTGGGCGCCACCATGCCGAGACTGGCTTGCCAGCTCACAGCACCGCAGAGGCAGGGCTGGCACAGTGTGCAGGACTGGGGATTGAACCCTGGTCCCTGAACTTGCCAAAGCAGGTGCTTAGACTGCTGAGCTATCTCACCAGCCCTTTGGTCTTTTTTTGAGACAAGGTCTCACTATGCAGTTCAGGCTGGCTCTGAGCTCACTTTGCACCCCAGGCTGGTTTTGAACTCACAATGATCATCCTGCCTCAGCCTCCCAAGTGCTGGGACTACACGTGGGCACCACCACACCTGGATCAAACTCATCAATTTTAAACATGTAACTGGCTTTTCTCCTCTTTTCATTGTAAGTACCAAAAAAAGAAAAAAAGTTAAAATTAAAAAAACAAAGAGGAACAGTAATAAAAGTTACTAGGGCAGACCTCTGAACATAATCTCAGGATCTTTATTGTTCTGCACAAACTACATTACTCAAGAGTTGGTTACCAGTTAGCGTTCTTCCAGTGAATCCATCAAGATGCCCTGCTGTGCTCTGACAGTAGGTAATGGCTTTACGTCACATATTTTTATGTTGTATTAAAACTGCAAGAATAGATATATTACATACACGATGAATGACAGTTACTTTACACTATACTGAATTTCTACTAGTCATACATATTTAAAACATGGATGACTTTTGAATCCTCAGAAATACTTTATGACTGGCAGGATGCACTGGTAGAATGCACTGGGTGTATAAAGGAATACTGAAGAGTCTGGAGAATAAAAAGTCTAAATGTTTGAAATTTAATCTTTTCTGTTATCATACCTTGGAATACAAAGCTCAAAGTAGAACACACAAATCCATATGTGAAACATCTTAAATTTTTTCTAATGCAGAATTAGGGAAAAATTTTAAGTATCTCATTGCTAAATCAAATACCAAAAGAACTAATATCATGTAGAGAAACTGGTAAAAGGCCGGGTACTAATGCAATTTTCAAACATATTACAAATCTAGCAAAGGGCTCCCCCAGTGGGGGCTAACTTGTGGCACGCGTGCTGTAGCCGGCTGCTTGTTACGGAGAGCTCTGAAAGGTTCACCCCCACTTGGCTGGACCATTCCTCTTAGTAAGGATAACTATTTCTAAGTAACACTTTAGTAATACCATTACGCCTTGAGATGATGGCTTCCTACTGCCAGCCTGCCTGTCTTCCTTCCTTACGCTTAAGCCTAAGGCTATGTACATAGGAATAGGACACACAGGAAAGCTGGAGTAGAAAAGAGATGAACATTTTTTTTCAGTATCTGAAATACACCATATGTATATTTCCAATATACAAGAGCTTGCATTTTTTTTAATTCAAATCACTTTGTAAAGAAACAAAAGCATTTGTATTACTTACCCACAAACTTTTGTGGAGTGGAGCTTTTACGTTTTCCCATATTCCCTGTGAGCTTCTCTATGACAGCAGGTCTCTCAAAAGGCACCAGAGAAATATTGTTGTCCATAATAGGCTCTTGTTCCTTACAATCTTCCATAGGAGGTACTATATAAAACCATACAAAAAGGCACTCTGATAATTTCTTCAACATTTTGAAAGATACAGAGATAGATCTGTCATCTCAGTATGTGTCATAAAAACACGAGGTAGTTAGCTTGAATAAAAACGTAGCGAGAAAAACTTCTAGTGTGAAAAATTACTCTTTAATTTTGTACACACACATATCCATCTCCTCTCTCTCTCGGGATTTGGTTTTGAGAATTTCTAGGATCAATGACAAACTGCTACTATTGATGGCAAACACATTCATTTGGCTTGTCATCTTATTTTTCAGTCTTTTAAACATTGATTAAAATCAATAGTTCTTTAAGACTGCACTACTGGTTTGAGCTTATTTTTTTCAAAAATAAACCTAAGTCAGTCACTTGCTAGAGAAAAACATAACCAGACACAGAATAACAACAGCACACTATTTGGCTGTTTACCTCTGTCTGTTTCCTTTGCATGGTTGTATTTTCCTACAGCAGATTTTCTATTTGATGAACTGTTAGCCTTATTGGCAATAGTTTAAATACCTGCACAGAGTGAGCTTCATAAGCAAGATCTAATGCTGAACGTGTCTATGCATAGTGAACTGTGGCAGCTTTATGACAGTAGTTTATTTTAAAAAGAGCTCTTCAGGAGGATAGAAGAATCCATTTCCAAATCAGCACACTGGCTGACTAAACTACTGCCCTAATTCATTTCACATAACCCTTCCAATGCTGCTGTCCATTCATCCCATTTGTCCACATTTCTATGGTATAATATGTTAGTCCTTAGTATGCATTAACACTACACACTCACATTTATAGTGCAGACAACGAACTTACAAAAGTTGCTTTGAGTAGAAATACTATGCAAAGGATGTTTAAGAACAGGTAAGGTAGCATTCATAGAAAAAGTTTCCTATTTTAGTCTCTCTCTCCTTAGTCTAGCATGCATTTTAAAATGATTTACTTCAACCATTTCATTGTTGCAAAAACAGTCCCACTGTATGAAACATAAAGCACTCTCATCTGTGAGGGTCCAGCTCGCTGCTGCTAGGAGCAAGAGAGCAAAGACAAAGGTGGAGAAAGCTGAGTGTATAATTCAGGTGACCTATTTAATAACCAATATAGGTTGCTGATTTTGAAGAAATAAAAAATAGCATCAAAGCTGTTTTCCTAATTTGGCCATGCTTAAAGAAATCAACATTCAGTCTCTATTCTGGGTAACCTAGTAGAATGGTCAGAAAAAGTTAATCTTTATATCTAACAAGAGAGCCAGAAGCTGGAGAGATAGCCCAGTGGTAGAGTACTTACCTAGCATGTAGGAAGCCAGGGATTCAAAGAAAAAGACAGAATCTTTGGCTATGAATGGCAAAGAAAGCTCCAAAGACTGGATATTAATTTGGAAAAGATATGAATCCCAAGTTGAGATGCACTAACAAAGAAAGGCATCATTTCTTTGCTGATATTATTCAGATTAGCCGATGGAAAAGATATATCCCAAGACACTACGTAATCTTTTGGCAACCAAAACATTACTGAAATGGCTCAACTAAAAGAAAATTCAAGGGTGACTACAGTATTCAGATGAAGGCACTCAGAGGAACAGATGGCAGTAGTGATGTGGCGCGGAGCACACAGATGTAGTGACACACAGACTGGGGAGAAAAACCTCTATCTTTTGTTTTGGGTAGTAGACTCAAAGCACTTGCTATATTATCAAAATAACTATAAAACTATGAAGTACCTATATGTGAGCCAAAGAGGAAAATATATTGCAGATCGTGATCTTAAAAGAAAAAAACTTGGTCGCTGTGAATTTTGCTTTTAACAAAAGTAGTTTAAAGGGTTTGCCCCTGAAATTGAATATGCTAATTAGTTCTGAAATGAGTAGTCTTAACGCTTGGCAGTTCTGCTCTAAATCTCACCCTGAATCTTCACATTTGCACATATTTAATGCTCAAAATGAAACCCAAGTGTGGGAACTGTCCCACACCACATCCACCTCAATTCAGATGATCTGCCCCAAGTTCCATGAAGTTTCTGTGAACTAAAAACAAAGACTGTGGCAGAGCCCTGCACGAAATTCTGCTTTTACAGCCATTTATATAAAAGTTTTTTTTTTTCTCTACAACATTCAGAATCACTGACATATGCAGGTGCTCAGTTCTATTTCAAGGCTTTGGTTTAATACTTCATTTACTCTTCTGAACAACCCCACAAAACAGTTACTATTACTATCTTCATTTGACAGATGGGGAAGCAAAAGACCCAGGGATTTTGAGTAATTTGCACAAGGTCACATCTAGTTAGCAGGGGATGTTACCGACTACTAAGAAGCGTGGCTCCTCAGTCTAGAGTCTTGAACAACTCTGCATTGCTATTCTTTATTGATTTGTTTTGAACACCAACGAGCTTGAATCATTTGTAAGGTCTGTCATTGCTTTTTGCCCCAGTTATTTAATCTGAATTTTTTTTGCTTTCTTAAATTTGGGTACAACTCAAAAAAATGCTTTTGTATATATATATATATATTTCTTGAAACAAATTCTCTAGATACCTGTTATTTGAAATGCATTAGTCACATGATAAGACGTTTATCCTGGCTGAAAATATCCCCGTGTGCTAAGTTCACTTCTTTGAGCATACTTCACAATCAAACATCATCTTTGGCCTTATTTAAAATTATAACTGGGGTAGAAATATACTTCGACTTGCATTATTTCTTCACAGTGATAAACCATAAAGACAAGAACCACAAGAGGATTCCCAACATAGCTTCGTTTTCTTAACAGTTCACTCAAAATGCACACTCCAGGAAGAACCAGACTGAAGGATCCGGCCTGGGTCAGAGAATTCAGGAAGGAAAAAAAGCAGTTGTCTTCTATCTTGTCACAATTTTTTTCCATGTTGATAAGTGTAAAGGAAAAAAAAAAAAGACCTTGGTTACTCTGAGTTACTTCTCCTGATAGCATTTGGCAGCACGGATGCTTGCCTTGGCTTCTGTTAACTCACTCTTCCAGGGTCCTGCTTTGCTCTTTCCCATCTCATCATGGTTTCTGTTTTCCCCTCGTAGTGCATTGCTGCGTGGCTCACACGTATCTACCAATACTGTCTTACGCTGCGGTTTAGGTCTCATTTATTCCCCAGAGATGCATGTGCTGGAAGCTTGGTCTCTAACATAACAGTGCTGAAGGAAGTGGGACCTTGCAGAAGGTGACTAGGTCACTGGAGCACAAGCCCTGGGCAGAGGTTCACACTGGTCTCACTGAGTGGGTTAGGTCGGTGGGTTCTTCCCACTAGTGCCGGCTATTATAAAAACACAGGCCTGACCCCTCTTTGTTCTCCTGCTTCCTCTTACCTTGTGACCCTTCTCCTGAGCAGGATCCTACCACGTGACATTATCTGCCATGAGGCCCTTTCTGAACGCCAGTGTGGGCTCCATGATCCTGCACCTCTAAAACCACAAGCCAAAGAAACCTTTTATTTACAATTTCTCAGCCTCAGGTATTTTGTTATAGCAACTCAAAATGGTCTAAGATACTTTATTGAAATTAATTACTTCAGGCTGCTATCTATAAAATGAAGACTATGACACAGTCATTTCCTATTCAGATGTAACTCAGGAGTTAAGATCTGTACATTCAACTTTCTTCTACACAGTTCTACTTGGTTATCTCACAGGCACATCAAAGATGTGCTCAAAAATGGAAATTTCCCTTTTCCTCCCCAAATGTTTTCACAATTTCTACCTCAATGAACATACTATCCAGTACTCCCTCTCACCTACTAGATGCCTGTGGCAAACCTAGATTTCTTCCCATTTAATGTCCTATATAGCCTCCCTACCACATCTCCTTATAAACATACATGGAGGTAACCCATGGTTTAGAGTCTATATGTGTAGTTACACTCAGTTAACTAATTTTTTTCTGTATATCCCAGGTTACTAGGCCACTCTGAGCACTGTTAATAATCTCCTAACTAGCCTACTTGTTTCTAAATTCCTCTGTCTCCCACATTGTTACTGGTAAAATGTAAGTACAAGCCTGCTTTTAATATAAAGCACAAAATTTTCTGCCTAACACACAGGCCCTTGGTGTTCTGTCCAGACCCTTGTCCTATAGCTTTATCACCTTCTCTTGTGCTGACAAACTGGGCTCCAATATAAATCTAAGTGTAGGTTCTTCATCTTCTATCCTTGTCTAGACTTTTGTTTTTTCACATACACTGTTCTGAATAAAATACCAGTCTCCATTTAGTAGCTTGTTAGGTTTAACATTTCAAAACTCAGCTCAAACTTATCACTCCTGGAAATCCATCTTGGACACCCAGTCTGACTTAGCATGTTGGATGTGCCCTTGAAGCCCCACGAGTACTTATAAATATCCTTAGGATATTGCACTGTATTAATCAGCAATCTATTATTTTTTATAGCATGAGAAAAATAGGATAGATAATGGATGGATAGCATATGGCTTCATGAAAATGATGAACCAAAGAAGTAAGTGAGAAAGTTTGTTTGGTCCCAATTACACCTCGAAGAACATAAGAAAGAACTCCCCCTTTTCCCAAATCACTGAGAACATAAACCTAAGAACACTTAGTAGCTTTGAACTTGGCCATCTTTCTGGTTCATATGTTCATTTTTATCTTCAGGCAAGGAGGAAAAGGTAATCACACAGTTTACTTTTAAAAGCTTTTTTTTGCTTCAAGCTGAACAGACTTGAAAATTGAGCATAAAGATAATATCCAATAAGATAAATAATCTGCCATAAAATCATTTCATTGTTCTCTTTATTTCTGAAACTAAAAGTCATGAAATTCCTCTTTTCCTTAAACTCAAAGCAACTCTTAAGAAGGTTTTATTGCCTTTAAAACATGGCTTTTGTGTTGGGGCTTACCCCCTGGTTCCTTCTCAGCCTTTGCCTCTTTCCTTGGCGTTAGCACCCCAGCCACTGCTCATACCCACTGCTGTCTCTGGGCAGGCATCCCCTCTACAGTCTACATTGTTGATGTATTTTTTAAAACAAGGCATAAATCTGATTATTCAGTAGCTGAAAGTTATATACTAGATTTACATTAAAAGTTCAGTCTTCTTGCCTGCCCCTCCTATGATGTGCGATGTCACGGAATATGCTATGGCTTTGTCTTTTATACCCCTTTTATATGTGGAAAACACAGGCCCCGAGTTATGTCACACAAACACAAATTTTGCTCCTGTCTCATGTGCAAATCAAACACTGCTGCACGTAAGGAGCACGCCTCGACTTCTCCATGAGCGCAGCCCTACGTCTGCTCTCCTGGGGAAGCAGGGATGCATCTTTATTACAACTGTAGTTTCATTTTATTATCTTTTAAAAATGGATTTCCTACCACCATATAAATATGTGAAAAAAATTGCATCTATTTATTGTCATAGCCCCAAAATGTTCAATGGAATTTGGCGACTAGGAAGCCTTTGATAAATGCTGTCTAAGTGAAGTGAAAGAATGTCCCTCGTACTTCCTTAGGGACAACAAACAGGCTTTGGAAAACAGAAGCAAGGAAATAACAGTTATGTCAGGCACGGAGAAAAATTCATCACCACACCAATGACAACCCTCCCTCCTAATGCTAACAACAAAGAAAAGAATAGAGAAGATACAGCAACTTAGAGGGGAGGGAGGGGAAAATATGCATGTCACTGTGGCAGTGTTTTAAGGAGACATTCATTGCTGATCTCTGCATAGGAGACAAGATTAATGATGAAATCTGGCAGCATTTGCCCAGTTTTCTCTCTCATGGTAGTCTCCTATCTCATGCAGCCAATTCTCCATTTACACGTTAATATAAAGAAAGGGAGAGTAATGATAACCTCAATTTTTATTACAACCACTCTGGAAATAGATAGTATGAAACGGACTCAATACTCTGGTTACTGTGGTTAAAACAATATGCAGTATTTAAGAACAAATATTCAAGTCCATCAATGATATCAAAATCGACTATCATTTTCCACTCGGGTTTCGCTCTGTGGTCCCTCCAGTATCCCCTCTCTGTCACATTTGTCCCCATTCTCTCCCAGCTTTGGCACCACGGGTAAAGGGCCGAGGCCTGACGAGGGCTACACAGTTAGAGGAAAGTGGCCCAAGGCTGAGGCCCAGCTATTTAAGTAAATGTCCTTTTCTTTCTTCGAACACATTTGTGTTGTTGTTTTTCATCAACACTAATTCTACGACAGGTCACTATGCCAAGAGATGATGTTGATTCTCATTATTTATTTGTACCTTCTTCCCTGTGACAATATACAGTCCTTTAGGGGAGGCTCTATTTCTTCTTCAGTGGTGTATGCTACATACAATTCCATAAATAACTAAATCCAAAAATAAGCAATGATTTGTATATGTACTACCACTGCAGTGGGAAAACACTGTGGGAAATGTGTGGCGCTGACAGAACTTGACTCTGGGAAGCTCTCACATGCGCCTAAGTCTCCATTAGCTCCCTGCGTCAAGCCACCCTTAAAACCAGTAATTTACCTGAAACAGTGTTCTAAGTAGGCAAACGCAGCCTCTAATGTGAATACTGATAAGTTATAACTTTACAGGGAATGGCACATTTATTGTTTTTAGTACTTAATGCCCTGAAATGTAACAGTAAAAAGCCCTACTTTGGGGATATTTATTGTATGTCCAACCACATTTCATGCTCCAGAATAACACAGACACCATACAGTCAGACCTGGTTTACTGCACTCCAAGGCCCACCATTTAATGGTTTCTACTACCCTCATATGCCTAGGTCCTATAAACTTTTAATATCAAATTTACTAAGAGCTGAAATACAGTTTTATATAAATTGTTAGTTAATGATAATTAACAATTAATGGACTCAATGAAAACACAAATGGACTAGCATATTTTCAGTATAAGAAAATGCTGACTTAGGATAACAGTAAATACTGTAAATTTAAAAATTCCTCACTCAATTATAAATAATCAGTAACTCAAAAACATAGCTCTATAGTAGGTACTACACAAAACTATCCATGATTATTCTTGAGCTGGATATGTGTAATAAATATTTACATATTAAAAATAAACCATCATGTAATGCTGGTCAAACTGTCCATATGAGGAATATAATACAATTTTGTGGGTATTTGGGTAAAAAACTCAGTCCTTATAGAAATATAATCAGTGAAACAACTAGATACTACAACTGTAAAATGCTAAAATTTATTACTTTTCTTTGTAAAGCTGGCACTAAGGTTCACTTTTCAGAAACTAAAAATTATTATAGCTGATAAATCTTGGGCATTACGTGCCTGCCTGTTGGAGTGTACAGCACTGTGAAGCATATCTTTTATGGAGGGAGGTGGTATCTAACTTTAGTTTATCTTATTACTGACACGTGTAGAAAGCAAAACTGCAAGATTCCCAGAAAATTTATGGAAGAGATTGGAGAAACTACAAAGTATATTATAGAACACTTACACAGAAGAAGTAATGTGAACAGCCAAGTCAATTTTTAAGGAAATCTATAGACTTAACCGAGCTGTCTAACATCTGGCCAGGAAAATAAAAGAGAAGAGTGACTGTCACCTCCCTTTGGCATATGGGTGACCAACTACCATAATTATGTCAATTCAGGCATATGTTAACAGAAACAATTTGAATTTTCTGAAAAGTATATAAATTAGTGTATATAAATATCATAAAAACTCTATCGTTTATTTGTAATGTTTCCTAAAACTCAGCTCATTTTAAGTGCTTAAGAAGATAATGTCATACAAAGTCAACATGATCTAAATGTGTTTGAAGCCAAGATTTTTATCCTTCTTTAAAGGGGGAAGAGGCCTGTTAGTCCCTAAAAACTACCAACACAGTACAGGAGGGAATTAAAATTGCGACTGCGGCGGCGCATACCCACCATGGTGACTCATGACCTGCCCGGCAGCCTCCATGCCTACATTCTGGAGATAGTTGTGGCAGCGTTCCTTGTGCTCCTCCAGTGAACTGCGTTGCTTGTAGCTTCGTCCACAGTAGTTGCACTTGTGAGGTTTACCCACTGCGAAGAGAACTCAAAGTTAGGATGCTGTCAGTTTCTTGGACATCTCCCCAAAATTAACAGGTAGGTTTTCAAAGGCTGGAAGAAGCATTTTATGCTTTTCAGACTTAAATCTCTTCCTCTTCCACATTCCAGTCTAAGCAAGCAGAGATAATACGCATCTTAGGAGACTAAGAGATAGCAGGAAGCAGAGACAGATCCTACCTCAGGGAAGGAACCGGGGAACACTGAATCAAACGCAGGCTCTGACTGTATTTTGATCTTGAGGGGCTGTTGATCAATTTTTAGGTTATCTGACACTCAACATGCTTATTCTTACTCAATTATGTCAGCTCTGACTCATTCAAAAGGCAAATTAGGAGCATCCGAGATATATGATAAGTTGTGTTTTTTAAAAAAAAATTTAGTTTTTGGTTCTGTTTTTTGGTAAAGCAGGGAATTTTTCTGAAAAATGCTAAACAACGTGAAATGTCAATGTCTAAATAAATGGAGATTATTCATGGGTACCAAGAAAAGTAGAAAGAATTCAAGTGGTACAAAAATGGTACAAATAAAAGTAGCGAGTTTCTCTTTTCTTTTTGCCATGGTAATAACTTTTTACACATGTGAAACTTGAAAGCAGACAATATATTTTCCCCCATCAGCACTACTTTTATAATATGAAGAATTAGTCTACTTGTTGCTTTCAATCAGGGTTACTAAGCCTTAGCATATTTGGTTGCAATGATATTGATATTTTTCAAAACATCTCACATTCAGGAAATGAATTTTTCCCTAATAGCCATGAATCCATTATCTAAGATCTATTAAAATAGGAACTATGATAATCCTGTAGAAACCTTAAAAAATTGATTAAAAAGAAAAAAAAAACCTCATTTAAATAAGCATATTTTAATATACGATAATCCCTAAGGATTTCACTGAGCACTTTGATTCTTGGTTTTAAACAGATACAGAGCAACGAATATCACCGAGAGCTCTGGGCCAAAGCCCTCAGCCCAAAAGCACAGTGTAAATCAGGCCAGTGTTTCTCATTTGACTCCCAGTGGACTCATCTAGTTTTGCCCAGAAGACAGACAACTCTTTTTTATAAATCAAGATAGCATCCTTAACTCTAGTCACCTTACAAACTAGGGGGTGACATTGGTCACAAGAGAAACTTGAATTCTGTAACAAGGAAAAGTATTCAAGGCTCCCTAAAAGTTTCACTGTACTGATTTAAAAAAAACCTTTAGCTTGTATCTAAGGTAGACATAAAGTAGAATTAGTTACTTCACAATCTTATTTTTATAAACATCTTAAATAAAAGCTATTGAAGGTATGATTAGTCATTTTTTTAAAAGGCAACATAATCACTTTTTAGAACCAGATTTCTGAGATACAGCTGTGAATACTGTGCAGGATTTGTATCACTATGTGAAAGCATTAAAAATGTAAGAAAAAATTTTTTTTGGTCCTAAGCAGTACAAATAATACAGTTTTATTTTATTGACATGTAACTATATTCCATGTCATAAAGCTAAATTATAAAGTCTGTTTTCTCTTAGCATTATTATTTTCTAGAAATAGTGATGAATTTATACTGAATAAGTCTATTGGCCAATTAATAGTTACTAAGCACTTACACTGTAGATAGCATTCTACTGTAAAATAGTTCAGTCACCTCCTGGTCTTCCCTAGTCTTAGTCTCATCACTGTGTCTTATAAAGCCTCTATTACACTGTGAATATGCACTTCTGGACCAGTGGTGGGGAACCAATGGCATGCATTATCTTTTAACACAAAAGATGTCAATGTAGGAGTTGTTTTCTCTAAGCTAGCCTTCAGTTTCAGGTTTAGTTGCAGTGTTGGCACTTTAAATAAATAAATGTGTTCCAGGCTGCAGTTTGGGCCCTGGTCTCTGAAAGGTTCGGCATCACTGTTCCCCTTATTTCTTTCTTTTTTTTTTTTT